AAAAAACACTGGGGGGATTTTTATCATTATAGGGTGGTTGTGTACACACTGCCAACACACATTTCAGTTCAAACAACTTGTGAAAGTGCATGTAGCATCTGATGACCTCTTTAAGGATTAATCGTGCAGCTCTAACAGACACCGCGCGCATGCGGGCTTCACCTGGCTGCTGCTGGGAGTCTTGCTGGAGCCCGCGGGGTGATGCGCCTGCAGCGGCGGCGGCTGAGACAGCTGCGTGTGTGTGTTGGGCCGGTACGGATATACTCACACACACACACACACACACACACACGGACACACACACACGGACACACACACACGGACACAAACACACACAAACACACACCTTCAATGTTGAACACTGGAGCATTTGAGTCCATTTGACAACAGAATTGGGTTTGTTTGGTTGATATTCAACAGTGTAAAGTTTGTTAGTAAATCTAGTTAAGATAGTAAACAGCTTCCTCTGGTGCTCATAAGACATCTTTACACATCTGAGTTAAGACTGCTCTGTGCCTGCTTAAAATTCAGTGTAAACAATGTAATGCTGCTTAAAAGCCAGACTAAATGCTGCCCCTCTGACCTGCCTCAGACCCTCATAAATGAAATGCAGCATCAGAGCATTCATTTAATATATATATATATATATACACTATATATATATATATATATATACACTATATATATATATATATATATACACTATATATATATATATATATATACACTATATATATATATATATATATAGTGTATATATATATATATATATATATATGTGTGTGTGTATGTAATTTCATTATTGCTATATAACAACAATAATTATTTATTTTATATAATAATAATTATCTAAATGTATTAAAAACTAACATGTAGTAATTGTTGTTACATAAAATTATCAAATAAAATAGTTATTATAAGATACTTTACAGTTCAATAGTATTATAATGATATTTCTTTACTGATTTGTGTCATTGTATAATTTTCTTAAATAATAATAATAATTAACAATAATTGCAATTAGATGTTTACCCAATTCTGCCTGTTTTTTTAACGCACATAAAGTTTCAAGGCTGGTAAAAAATATAAATTGCCAGTAAATTTTCCTTATTTTTTTCATAAACATGCACATATTTAAAACATTAATCTCATAACATTGCTGTTGCTATTTTAGATGCATTCCTGTAGCTCAATGCCAAGGTTATGTTTTAAGGAAATCCAGGAAAGGCATGTGAAGTGTGTAAAAAAACAACAACAACAAAACGTCCTTTTTAGACTTGCACTCTATTCATTTACTAACTGCTTGTTTTCTTAAAAAAAAAAACTAACACTAGCTTCTCTATTCTTTTTGTATTCTATCTATTTGTTTTCTTTTATTTATTATACGATTAACAAAAAAAAACCTTGCTACGTGTACTGCATTAAGCTAACTGAGACTTGTTACAGCACTTGCGTATCATTGCTCTTTTGTTGATTCTGATTGCTTCCATTGTCCTCATTTGTAAGTCGCTTTGGATAAAAGCATCTGCTAAATGACTGAATGTAATGTAATGTAAATGTATAAAGCATAATCACGTACAATGCAGCTGTAATTGCAGTGTAAATGCATTTCTGCCCTGTCAGATGCAGCTTCTGCGTCATAAATCAATCAGTGACAGACATATGTGGTCACATGACTGCAGTTCTGACCTGTTGTGTGGCGTGTCCAGACGCAGCGGATGCTGACGGACTCGGGCTGCTGGATGCAGAGACGTCTCCTCCGATCACAGCCTTACACACTTTACCTGAAACAGCAGAGCAACAGCACAGTGAACCTGCAGTCTTCAAAATCTAATTAAAGGGACAGTTCCCCCAAAAATGATCATTCTGTCATCATTTACTCTCCCTTTCACTTGTTCCAAACCTAAGGCTTTTTCTGCTACTGACCACAACAGAAGATATTTTGAAGAATGTTGGCAACCACACAGGTGACGGCACCCATTGACTTCCATAGTGCTTTTTTCCCTTTTCCATACTGTGGAGGTCAATGGGTACCAACAGCTGTTTGTTAAAGCTGTTTTGGTTACAACTTCTTTATGTTTACAGACGTGACGTAACGACGCGGCGGCATGCTCGAATTTCCCTTGAATTCCTACCAGTACCACTCGAATCAGGAAACATTATTATAAGCTGACCGTTGCTAAAGTAAGGAGATAGTTTTCAACACTGGCTGGTTATGTACTTGCTCAAATATTGGATAATTTTTAACCAAAACAAGTTACGGACTGCAGCTTTGAACACATGTTTGGAACAACTTGAGGGTGAGTAAATGATGGCAGAAGTTTAATTTTTGGGTGAACTATCCCTTTAAGACTCTTTAGGACCTGCACAAATAAAATTAATACTCTATGACCAAACCCATCCATCTCAAAATAAATCAAAATATCTCAGATTGTTTACTGAGATAGTGACATGCACAACATGGCATCTGCAAGTTTAAAATACTATTTTTTTCTTTTAATATATATATATATGTATGCACTGAAAATTATTTATGTGCTAATGTGTCAATACATCTGAATTAGTGGTTGATCGATACTGGATTTTGATAAGATGATTATGTGTTTAAAGAAAGACACTTTTTGTTCTGATACTATGTAAAATACTTATACTGAACATAAATAATGTTTGCAGTCTTTCCTTAGTTAAATAAAATTCCAGATATAGATTATTTTGTCACCAAAATAGCAATAATATCCCCAAAAAAGGTATGTATAATGCAAGCCTGAAATGTACCTTATTTTGAAATGACTGTGCTGCTTATTCAAACATGTGAGAGTTAAAATATTCAATTCAATTAATCTAGAGCATATTATAATATAAACACCATAAAGCACATACTGTCATGATGCATCAACAGTGAATCATAGGACATTAAATCAACACATTAGGATGCATCACAATTCCTGTGTTGATTTTACCGATGGGGATGTATTCTGTGACGGGGTCCGTGTCTCCGGCGCTCTGACCCGACGGCTCCGGGGACTGTCTCCTCTCCGTCACCGGGATCGGCACTGACATCTGACTCAGGTCGATGGTGTGCTGGCGAGGTTTGGCGTCGCTCTTCTCCTTCACTGAAACAGCACACACACACACACACACACACACACACACACACACGTGTTTTAAAGGGGTGGTTGAGTGCTTTTTCTAGGCTTGATTGTGTTTATGGGGTGCAGTCTAATGTGTGTTACACCTTTATTCTGTCCCTTCTCTTATGAACGCCCCTGGTTTTATGAAGTCCCTCCCACAGAAATACACAATGGGCTCTGATTGGTCAGCTGGCTCAGTGTGTTGTGATTGGCTAAACCGCCTCTAGTGTGCGTCTAAACGTCACACCCCTCAGCTCAGAATGTGTTGTATTGTAAACAATGGCGTTGTCAATATCGCTTATCAGTTTGATCCCGATTGAGACGCAGAGAATATTAGTGAAGAGGATCGCGCATATCTTTCTTTGTTTGTTGTTGTCTCATACTTTAGATACACTGTTATTTGTAAATGCTACTGGTTCTGTTTAATTTTGACGTCATGGCAACAACTCTTCCGCTTCTCTAAAGCAGCGCAGCATGGCCCCGCCTCCTTTGTTGCATGTTCCCGGGGGCGGGGTTTATGTAAATTTCAGGGTTTGTGATGTCAGTAGCTCATTGTAGTCCCTACCAGACGTTTTTGTAGGCATTAAACTGCCATCATTTTAAAAGACAATATCTCCGTTTGCATTGAACTTTCAGCGTCTTAACTTTGCAGATATTGTTTATGCTCAAACAGCAACATTACACACTAACTAAAGTTAAAAAAGTGAAATCACAATCAACGCAGCAGGAGCGCTCCAGAGATACGCACCGCTGGTCTGCTGCAGCTCCAGCAGGGCTTTGATGGTGGATGTGGCCGACTGAGACTCTCCCGTCATGTCCTGGTAAATGATGGTGGGACTCGCCTCCACAGACACCTCCTGCTCCGTCCACTCCTGCCCCCTGGAGGTGATGAGGTGCACCACCGGCTGAGCGTCTGAACACAGAGACAACACACTCAAACACAGCCGAGTGAGATGCTGATTGGATAGAGACAGAGCGCATTTAGGCCATGCCCACAATCCAAGCCTCACCATTGACTGTCTATTGCGGGAAGCTGCCTCCTTGTCATTTCTGAGTTGTAACAAAAAAACAGAACAATGCCTAAAAGCTGCTGTGTGACAAGTAGAGATGTAAGGATATTATCAATAGCGTGATATTGCGTTAGCAAATCTGAATTGATATTATCGTGGTCACATGACGATATGAAACAATATAGGTCTTCCAGGCAAAAACTGCAGTTTTTAAAATATATTTAAACTTCTTATTTTAACATAAAAGGTCTTTAAAGTTGTGTTTTGGGCCATTATGCTTTAGCACTGTATATGTCAAACGAAGGTTAAATTTTTCGAAATTGAGATTTATGAATAAATAATCTTTCCATTGATGTATGGTTTGTTAGGATCGGACAATATTTGGCCGAGATACAACTATTTGAAAATCTGGAATCTGAGGGTGCAAAAAAATCTAAATCTTGAGAAAATCATCTTTAAAGTTGTCCAAATGAAGTTTTTAGCAATGCATATTACTAATCAAACATTAAGTTTTGATATATTTACGGTAGGACATTTACAAAATATCTTCATGGAACATGATCTTTACTTAATATCCTAATGATTTTTGGCATAAAAGAAAAATGTATAATTTTGACCCATACAATGTATTGTTGTCTATTGCTACAAATATACCCCAGCGACTTAACACTGCTTTTGTGCTCCAGGGACACATTTAATGAGGAAGTGACTCGTTGGATGGAAACGGTGCTTTATTAGCAAATGTTTTAATGCGATATTCCAATTTTGTGCATAAGTTTAATTCGTAACTTTGGATGGAAACATAGCTATGGACTCCTAATCAGATGAGATGCATTAGCGTGCTGACCGTGAGTGCTGTCGGAGGTCACCGAGCTGCTCTCTGTATACGAGGGCGAGTCGTCCTTGAGCGCCCCCTCCTGGCCGGATCCGGCGCTGCGTGAGACCTGCTGCAGGGTCTCGCTCACCAGCTGACGGGTCTGTTCGCTCACCAGCGCCGTCTGAAACGCCATGGGCTTGGGCTTGATCAGGACCTGTGCACAACAACATCATTACTGATCATTAACAGTGCAGCGGCTGACCAATCCCAATCAACTACTACTGAGAGACCAATGACAAACATCTGTGACCTGTGCGCTGCAAAACATGACTTTCTTACTTAGTATTTCTGTCTTGTTTTCTAATATAAATATATAAACATTCTTGAATCAAGATGCATTTACTTGACAAGTAAAATGATTTAATATAAGTAAAAAAAAAGTATCAAAATGTTGTTAGTTTTTCCTTAAAACAAGCAAACATATCCGCCAATGGGGTAAGAAAAATAATCTTAATTCACAGGCTAAACAAGATTATTTTTCTTGCCCCATTGGCAGATATGTTTGCTTGTTTTAAGGAAAAACTAACAACATTTTGATACTTTTTTTTTACTTATATTAAATCATTTTACTTGTCAAGTAAATGCATCTTGATTCAAGAATGTTTATATATTTATATTAGAAAACAAGACAGAAATACTAAGTAAGAAAGTCATGTTTTGCAGCGCACAGGTCACAGATGTTTGTCATTGGTCTCTCAGTAGTAGTTGATTGGGATTGGTCAGCCGCTGCACTGTTAATGATCAGTAATGATGTTGTTGTGCACAGGTCCTGATCAAGCCCAAGCCCATGGCGTTTCAGACGGCGCTGGTGAGCGAACAGACCCGTCAGCTGGTGAGCTCACGTCGTACCTAACAACGCCCCTTAGCTGTTATAAATTCACTGTAAACCACGGCTTCACGGGGCTTATTGCTTTACTGAGCTACACCTGTTTGCAGTCGACAGTCACAAACTCAATTCTGAGAAAAATCAAGTTGAACTTTTCTGAAGGTTCCAATTTAGCAAAATCACCGAGCAACTCTGCATTGTTTCCTCCACTTCCTTTCTTAATATTAATTATCCTACTATATTAATAAGCACAATTTAGCCATTTTTATTTTATCTTTGTTACTAAAAATAAGAACAGATGCAAAAAAAAACAACAACGACCGAAAAAATATAAGAAAGAAACAAATAGGCCTAGTGCATAACTTTTTTCATTTTATATATATATATATATATATATATATCATAATGGCCAATCAATACATTATTAAACATAACACCTCTCTCAAAAGAAATGCTAAGCAGACATATAATAATCCACGCTGTTTCCAGGTTTACAGGAGTTTTTTTGTTGTTAATATGTTGCAAAGAAACACACAAAAAACTGTGGTTAAAAACCGAGGTACGTATTGAACTGTGTTGTTGCATCCCTAGTAACAATATATACATTTGTTTTAATGTTTTTTTTCTGGTCGTAGTCTGACCTGTGTTTTGCCCTGCTGTCCGTACACGATCTTGGCGGGGATGATTTTGGTGGACGGCTGGATGCCGGCGCCGAGGCTCTTGGGCTGCGTCACGAACATTTTGGTGATGGGCCGCGACGCAGTGATGATAGCAGGCTTGGCTCCGGAGACGGCCTGCAGCGTCTTCTCTCCCTGACACACACACACAGACACAGACACAGACACACACACACACACACACACACACACACACGTGTCATGAATCACCGCACACCAGCTTTTAACGATGTGCGATTTGACATTATCGAGTATTTTGCAAAAACCAAACAAAACACACCTACAGAGCGCACGCATACATTAGTGATGAAGTCTAGTGAGCTAGACCAGTGTGCGTTCTTTCACTGCATGACTCAGTCTATTAAAATACATTTAGAATAATCACAAATTCAAGACATGGGGGCAGAAAATGTATACACTACCGCTCAAAAGTTTGGGATCAGTAAGACTTGTAATGTTTTTTAAAGCAGTATCTTCTGCTCATCAAGGCTGCATTTATTTGATCAAAAATACAATTAAAAAAACTGTAATATTGCAAAATGTTATTACAATATAAAATAATGGTTTCTATTTTAATATCCTTTAAAATATAATTTATTTCTGTGATGCGCAGCTGAATTTCCATCAGCCATTACTCCAGTATAAAGTGTCACATGATCTTCAGAAATCATTATAATATGCTGATTTATTATTAGAATTATCAACAGTTGTGCTGCCAAATAT